AATTTTTTCCACTGTTAGCTCTGTGGCTTTCAAACACGATGCCAAGGTTGCCTCTCTCCTTTTCTTTGGGCTGGAGTTGGCGCAAAGGTTAAAGCTCGGGTGGTCCTTCGTTCGAACCCAACCCCAGCATCTAGACTGCTCCTGTCTAGGCTTGTACAACCTGACACTGTCCCATCCCTCCTTCAGGCAGCGTGGCAACTAGGCACCGAAAGGGTGTTACAAGTGAACGGTTATTACTATTATTGGTATTAGTAGTAGTAGTACTTTATCTCCTTTTCGTGTCATGTCATCATCATCAAAGACAGCAACATCAGTGTTGCCACTGATGCTTCACTGCCGTACGTCGGGCTAATTCACACCATTATGTCTCGTTAGCTGTATGCTGGAGCACATTTCAAGCCAAGTAGCCCACCGAGGTTCAGAGCACGAGTCCAAACATTTGAGTCCCATCTGGGCACCCCGGAGTCTCAGCGATGGTAGGAAAGTATTTCGCCAAGGGTATGGTTGTTTCAGTGGGCAGTGAAATTTAGTGAGCTGCGAAAATGTGAAATTAGGTTAGAATAGTTTTTGGTTTGAGCAACAAAATACAACATTTTGGCGCAAAAAGTTCTATTCCACTCGCAAAGGTTTTCCAGCTAAAAGCAATTTGCAGCCAGCGGGCCTCGAAGCAAAACTAGTCAACAAGTGAACGGCCTTCCATGAAGGCAACGTTTCCTTGTTGCTTACATGCACTTGCCGGTCCCAGAATCCGTGATCCATTGAACGCCCGTCGAACTAAACATTATGCTTACCATAATCTTGAACTATTCTGCGTTAAACCACTGATTTTGCACTCGGAAGCGAGTCACTGCTTTCCGCTGTGCCAAGTACCTAACGTGCCGGACTGACAAAGATCTGTGACTTCACCCTACGTCTGTGTGTGGCCGGTGCATTGCGGAAGTTGTGTGTGTGTGTGTGTGTGTGATGGGCTTGTTCCATAGCGTACTATCAATGCTGATCCTCTCCACGTGAGACCGGACCAACGTAGTTGTTCGCGCGGGTTATTGTACGGCAATAATGCTACCATATTAACTTCATTTTCTAATTTTCGCTCTGTTTCTTCCCATCCGTTGCGCAAAACGCTACAGAATCCGCCTGGTCTTTCGGAACCGCTCGAGTGCTCTCTATACGTTCGACCGCCATCATTCTTTTCCCAAACAGATGCGATCCGGAACCATAGATTTGTGCATCGTTTTCATTGTTTTCACCTATTGTACTCATCGATATTATGTATCCTTCGGTTTACCGTTTCCTTACTTACTTTCTCCCATCGTGCGCACATGTCAACAGAACCAGACACAACTCTGTCAGTTTCTAAAACAATTCTTCAGTCCGCCAACCATCTCATTCTGTAATTGTCCTACTTAGTCAATCGTCTCCACCGATTTATCGAGTACGATCGTCTGTTCCAGGTGCCTGCCATTCTTGTGAACTGTCTTTTGCTACTATATCTTTTCGCACACACTCGATTTCTTTCTATCAACTGTATTCTTTCCCGTGTGCTGGTACAATACTTAGCTTTACGACATTGGACCGTTGTTTTTATTCGTCGGAGTGAACATTCTTGGGGAAACTGTTCAGCATGACCAGTCGTCATTGAAGTTGGTTGGTTGTGCTGTGAGAAGCATTCAGCGACATGAATGGCACTGGGCATCGGTGTTGCTTCACCACCTACCAAGATGAGCTCTCTTCTGCACGCGCTGTTTTTGTAGTGACAGTCCAGAGGCTCAGCAGCGGTTTGCATGAGAGCGCGAGGCGTGAATGGGATCATAAGACTTTCGGATGCGGTCGCGTCCAGTAATTTTCAAGGCGACAGCCTCTATGGTCCTCTCTTATGTCCGTTTTGGGAATATCAAACGAAACAGTCTACATACCTACAAAGAACTGGTCATTTTCAAACGTCCGGAACACTCGCCCCTTACAGACCTCACTGTGCTTACAACAACCGCGCCTGATATCACTGAATGAGTTACTCACCAGGTGTTGATCTCACACCGAATTGGTTTGTTTTGGAATGTTCAAGTGCTCTGTACTGTTCGGTTGTCGGTCTGTTTGCCGAGCTTGTCAGTTGGATTGAGTTCCATCAAATTGGTTTGTTTTGGAATGTTCAAGTGCTCTGTACTGTTCGGTTGTCGGTCTGTTTGCCGAGCTTGTCAGTTGGATTGCGAAAGTTCCATCACCACTCGGAGGGGACCTCGTCAGTGTGGGATTGAGCCGCCTCAATGGGTGATCAAACGTTTGCAGTTCGACTGTCAAGCTCAGCGAACAGGCAGAACACCCGAGCCACCGATATTCCATAACATCGCCAAATCTATACTTCTATTCACGGAATCACGGTAACATTCCCCCTGTTGAACACCCCGTCTCATATCTACCATAAGACTAGTCATGTACTTCTAATAGATTAGGGATGATTAGAATGGATGAATTTTCCCGGGAACATTTTGCACCATACTTTGTTGCTTCATGGTCAGTCTTCCAGAAATCAGAACATGTGAGAACGAAAACTCAGCAATTTGTTATCCAAAATGTACACGCAACGAAGTGAATAATTGAATGTCAAGGAAATGTTTAAATCATTGGGGGTAACGGAATACGAAAAATAAGTTGCCAGTCAGTGAGAAACAGGATGGGTTGGGGCTTTGTTCAGCGCGCAGTGCTCGTTTTTTGGTCGTTCGCTTTTCGTTTGGATGGGGTCTAGTGGAACACAGGATAGTATGTATCGTTACTCATACGTTGGAAAAAAAGTCTCATGAACAGTAGATTATGAAGAAACTCTGTCCAGTCACCCCTCACTGCACACGCACGCTTCGTCTTTGAAGAGACGAAGGAGGCTCGGTTGACCTATCAGTTGGGGAGGAATCTGTGAAACTCGAAAACCTGGAAAAAGTTCATTCTGTGGGAGGTGAAGTTGATGCCTCTTACAGTTTATGCGGTGCTTGAGGTACGAAATCTGTTCGCATCTGGTTGACCTGCTGAATTCACCAAAAATCAATCATTTTTGAATAATGCCGATAAAAAGGCCAACGAACATGCAAGCTATCGTGAATAGCTTAGCAAAGAATCAGAAGTCCAAATGGGCGAAGAGATGCTGGTCCGGTGAGCGTCGACGGTCACATGGTGTCAATCAGGGAGTGATATCGACAACAGTGAGCGACTAGGCTGGTCACTTGTGTGTGCGTGTCTACTAACCAAATGACCCCTACAGCTCCATGAAACAATGGCCCAATTTACATAGCTTTGCTTGCGACGGACGCCAGTTTCGGTGTCAGACGCGCGGCTGAAGATATATTTAAGAAATGGGATTTGACTTCAAATTGATTTGAGACAATAGTCGGTCTTTTCGAAGTGTCGAAATTCAATGTGAACCTCAACGATCCAACTAAGGTTGGCATTTTATAGGATGGTTCCTCAAGATGTAAATGCAAGCCTTATAGGTTCGTTTCAACCACAGATCAATGACATTCGCTTCAAGAAATACACTCATTTGCAAATCAATTTGGTTTTCACGAGAGACTCAAGTGAATCTCCCGTTTATGATATTCTACAACTGAATGTGCTGCACACAGGCCTCCTCATGTTTCAGTTGGCACGATATTCGAGATGTCACAGGAAACTACTCACAAGGCTGTTGAAGAATCTTCGACAGCCCACGACCGGCTTCGCCCTTCTTGGGGCTCATCAGGTAGGCGCAGTCCCCGAGTTTCCGTCAACCTTATGTTCTACTTGAACCTAAATTGGACCGTCTTCAGAAATCAATTCCTACAACTGAATATGAAAATATACTGCGATATCTCGAATATCAGGCCAACTGAAACGTGAGGCGACCCGTGTGCAGCACGTTCGGTCTTGAACGCGTGAATAGGACAAATTCTGAGTAGTGGTTGGAGTCAACTTAGCCTTCGATGTATGTGAGCTGGCTAACACCTAGTTTTTGACCTGGAGCAGGAATACCTGTAAAGGTGTTCACCTACTCTTGCAATCAAGTTGGCCTGTGAGACTAACCTACAAAAAATTTGACCTTAGTCTTTCCAACTCAACAAATTGTCGAATGCGTACTTGTTGGTCATCGTAAATGCGATGCAGATTTTCGGCGGAATATTCTGGTTATGGGTATACAATTCTTGGAAGGTTTGTTTTCATTCCCAAATCTCTGATTAACTGTATCCATTGCCGGTTCATTGCCTCCGTCCATGTTTGCCTCTCCGGTTGCGTTCGTTTGAGATGTCGGTGCGCCATGAGCTCTGATCCCTATCCGGAATCCAGTTATGTCGCCCACTTCTAGGTCGTAGTGCTGTCCTGCTGCCAGAGCACCCAGGTTGATTGTAACTGAAGGTTGACTTCCCTGGGTCGGCACTGCTCCTCGCCGTATCTCATATTCATCTTGCATATTTACCCGTCCGAATTCCTGACAGTTTGGAATCCACTGACCGAGTTGACCAAACTGCCGATTCCAATCCCAAGTTACCACTCTGCTGACCCTTTCCAAGTCGCTGTTTGTCGATTGCATGTTTGGGATCGCTGCTGAGTATGTCCGGATCTGATTACCCAACGAAGATTTATGGGGTGGATAGGGAGGGGGTTGTATCGTCGGACTGCTACGAGAAAGTCTTGCGGAATGACTGTGAGAACGAGTCACTGGAGGATTCCTTATCAAACAACGGTGACCCCTGGCTGTTCGTTTACTTGACGAGTACGCCGAATGGGATTGTATTCCAGAATCCTCTAACTTCGAAACCACGTGACTTATCTCCACGGTCCGTGTCACATAATCCTCGGGAATACGAGACGGACGGATATGAAGGTAGCCTTGAGATTGTAATGGTTCCAAGACATTCGATGCACACGAAACCAGGTACACAGTAACACCGGAGTGAGAGAGATTCACGCTGATATTGATCAGGTACTGTGTGCTACCCGCAAGAGTTTGTAGTGTCAATCGGTGTTCGGGACTAATCAACACAACAGACATCAGAATATACATACTTGGCTCAATTGTAAGGCATTCCATATTGATATATAATTCTGCACGATCCACAATCGTACTTTGGATTGTAACAGTTGCGAATGTCGGGTAATGTAAGCCTTTGTGGGTTCTATCGATTTCGTGATATTTTTCCAGCCTCGCTGATGTGATTAGACAACACTTGGATTGTTTTGATACGATTCCCTCAATAGAACTAGATAGAGTTATCAGCAGGCACGTTTCCTGTTTAGGATCAACCCAGACACATTCTAAAGCCGAATGTACTGTCAGTAAGCTGCCGCCACCAACTTCCTGAGATTGTTCATTTTTTAGGCCCACTGAAGTGTGACAACGAATGGGGCCATGGGGTGCACTACTCGTCTGAAGCAGTATCGGAACCACATCCGCATTCAACCACTCGCCCAAAATACCATTCAAGTACCTGATATCCCCTTGAGTTATGGAAAAGATGCTCTCAGGGGCGTTTGGATGTGTTCTTTCCACAGTTTCTGGACCGGCATGAGAACATCTAGGGAAATCGGACGGGGCACCAGTGTTCCGCACCATACTGACTGAGGTGGTCTGTCTGAGGTTTTCAGTCATTTTTTCAATGATCTCAGGATGTCTTTGGGCTAAAAAGTTCATGATATAGTTCCAAGTTGTGAGGAGGAAGAGATGGGATGAATCTAACCAAGAATGTATGACCTCTTCATAGGCACTTTCAAATACCGCTCTGGGATCAAATGTCATTATTCTAAGCGGACCCGTTCTGGACGAACGAGAACTATTGGTAGTTGCAGCTATAGGTGTAGAGTTGTCTGCGGTATGCTTTGTCCAACCTTTTTGTGCTTCTGATGCAGGGTGTGAAGGTCTATGGATGATACAGCTTGATATGTATTTCCAGGCAGCCGCTGGAAATAGGCAATGCCATCCATGTTCGGACTGCAGTAATTCGTCAAACGCACCTGCAAAAGCAACCCTGAAGTTGTCCGACGTAGAGCCGGATTGAATAACTTCAGATTCATTTAGAGCCGCTTCGGATTGATAGATAGTCAGTTCTTCCTTCATGCTTTGAATAGCCCCCGGAATTGTGCTTGGAACTAGAAATGGATAGGAATGTGTCTTTTCGGACCGGGTCTTACCATCAACAGACCGTTCAAATGCGCTCCCTCGGTCCACTGGCAGGCTTGGTTGGTGAGCCGTTGAAAGCTCGCTGACTTCAAAATCTTTAGTCTTACTTGATGAAGCTGGTGTTAACTGCTGTGTTTTCTGGTGGTGTTCAGTATGCAGTGGTTCCGGCGAACAATCTACCTGACCGGAATTAAGGCTGATGAGATAAGCCCAAGAGGTCCGAGGTGGAGCACTTCCTGTTCTTGCTGCTTCCTCATAAGTGCGGCCAAACACTAACTGAATGCTCGGTGATGACCTTTGGATAGGTTGCAATTGAGAGGACCTACTCTGTGCAACCTTTTGATAAGTTTGTTCCAAATCTTGTAATCGTTGCTCAGTCGGTTCGGAAGCAACTTTGATAGGTTGCTCTTGGAACAGATGTTTTAAGTGCTCTGGATCGAGATCTGTGATATAGTTGTTCATTAGCTCTGTGAGTTTTGAAGAATCGGGAACAGAACCGAATATTTCCTGATACAACTCGCCCAAGATATTGGTTACCTCAGATGGATTGTCAGGATCCGTACAATCAGATCCGACCGTTCCAGTGTTCACAGTCTCGCCGCCCTGAACAGCTGACGGACTCATCCTGCTGTCAAAGTTCTCACCTCGTGCTACTCCGTATTTAGTGATGAGCAGTCTTATGACACAGTCCCATGTGGCTCGAAGCAGACGTTTTGGTCCAAGGTGGCTTCGCAGCATTGTTTCGAAGGCCTTTATCAACGCCAACCTAAGGTCGTTTGGTAGTGATGAATAGTGCTGAATGTGGGGAGAGCTAAACTGGACCATGTTATTGACGTCCACAGCTGTGAATTCCAGCGTTCCGCTAGTCATTGCTAAAGGCACATTTTGGCGAGTCGTCAGACTTGGAATGCCTTCACGATTAATGTTGGCTGTCTGAAGTTTCTGACTATTCTGCTGCACATCTGTAGCTTTACTCGGTGTATTTTTCAGGTCTAAATTGGGTGATTCTACCGCTTCAGGGTGCATAGTAGCTCGAGGCTCGCTCGACTCGTTTGACTGTGCGGCGTCTACGTTTGAATCGGGCTCCAAATTTGGTCTGGTACCAGTTCTTTCGTATTCATCGGACAAAATGGCACGAAGGTGAGGGAATAATTGTCCTTCTGGGACAGTTTCCTGTCCTGCACTTTTAGAGGGTGATGCGGGCAACTGGCTTTCACTGGAATATGTACCGTCTTGGAGTTGGTAGACCGCTGCGGCTTTCTGACACTTACAAGTCGTGTCAGAACACCGTTTACCTAGCCCTGAATTGAGAACGACATGCCTTTCGGGCTCTCCTTCTACAGAGGCACTTAGCGGCCTGTCATCTAAACTCTTTTGTCGAAATTGAACTGAGGAATCACATTTTGAAATTGTCCCGACTGGTACCGGGCCCATGTCCTCCTTAACATCTACACTCTTTATGTCTTCACGCGACGCAGGTTCACTGGGCAAACTGCGAATCTTCTCCAGAGAACTAGGCAAACGCTCGTATATGGGTTGATTGCGTAACTGCTTTTGTCGTGCTCGATGTTCTGATTTCGCTGGTTTCGGGAAGAATTCCACCGACTCATACGGTACAGGCCTTTGCCGTTCGGATGAGTCCGATCGATATGATGGCGTAACTGATGCACTACTCACTTTCTGTGGCCGTTGTCTACCGGTTCTCTTTTGTGGTTTGGATTCGGTCTGTACAGAGATCCACGAATCCACCCGCATCGAATCGGTCAAACCTGTGACACTAATTTGTTTAAACACGTGAACGCCCGTTTCAGCCCGCATGGGTTGCTGATCTGACGGGGCTGACTGAACTCTGGCGGAACTGTTTGTCTGTGTATTACACTGCGTTACCCCGAAATCTTGAGGGTTCAGCCACATGGGTTCAAAACGCCCCTTATTCCGTGACCAATTTCGCCTTCTCTCAACAGATGGTTCTGCTCTGGTGTGTTGACATGATCTCCTTTGTGTTTCGCCACGACATTCATTATGCCCCATTACATCACATTGGCGAGCAATGAAAGATGCTTCCTTACGACAGAACGTCTCAAGTTACAACATTCCAGCTGCGCCCGAGCGTAGACAGCACAACACAGAATAATACCACATAAAGTCACGGGGTATATCGATCAGTGTTTCAAATCATCCCAGGTTCTCAAGGACTTTGTTCGGGAGAAAATGGGTTGAAATGCGTTGAAAAACGTTCAAGCACAACCGCGACAAACTGTGGGAGATGATGGAGGACGGTCATTCCAAAGTAATGGCGCATCCGGTGGCTGGAAACTAGCAATGTATAGCTTATTGGGGACAACTGTCAGCCTGAAACTAACTGTCTCGCATACCGTGTAGTGGATTTAGGGTAATGGTGAGGTCTATTCAACCCGCACCCCGATACGACCAGAAACGATTTATCTCATATAATATCACACGACTCCCAAACCATTTCAGCTTTTCCAGGTGTCTGGAATAGAACTCAGGATGCAAACTCTTGTAACTCACCTAGTATCTCAGGTGGAAAGCTGTCATCTTGGCGACGGTGTGACCATTCTGGTAAAATAATTTGCTTGCTCCGCATTGAACACCTGAGAATTCGGTGGGACGATTTTGTCATTTAGCTTGGTTTACTTGACTACCTATCAGTAGTTGAGAATTATTGTACCAACATCGTACTGCTCGCGCACACGATTCGCCCCACCCTATAATCAGGGCCTAATGAAGACCACGCAGCTTTGACATTACTGACTTGAGGCACAACGACTGATTAGGCTCTGTAGTCTTATAGTCCCTTTTCTGGAATCCGCGTTGGTTTCATATCTAAGGTACCATTTTTCAACAGGCTTGTGTGTGTTGCAACCAAAGACTATATTGCACATTTGGAAAGCCTTCAGAAGACCAGTAAACAAAGAATTCTGACACGCCCATACAAAATCAAGGACAGTGATGACTGTTAAGCAGGCTAGAATGTTTCGCTTTTCGAATAACAACATCAAAAAAGGCGTTCGTAGCGAAGGCGAATCGGCCGGTTGCGCGAAACTGATAAGCATGAATGCAAAGTTTCTTAAGTCTCAGCTTACGTCGACTGCGTTTGATCGGGTTCAAAACACACCACTAGAGAGCAACTGACCATTTGTCGTGGTTGGCCTTTAAGACGTGGGCGCCAGTTATCCCGCAAACAAATCGTGGAATCGTCTGTGTAGTGTTTTGGCGCGCAGAACAGCAAGTGGTACGTGAATATGCGGCAGGTTTCCGAAACTACTTAAATAAAAAAACTCCTGGTATGGTTGTCCTCCTGCACCTCCTGTTTTGAAGGTACAGGGTCCTTGAAGACACGTGTACGGCAGTCTCTGAAAATACAAACGAGGAGATGCAATCACTATCAGCAGGCGTTCTTTGCACAATGATAGTGGTTCCCCAAAGAAGACCTCTTACGAAGCTTTTTGTTCGGAACCCCCCTTGGGTAAAGTCTTTTAAGCAGGGGGACGCGCTTCTTCAATACTTACACACAGTGTCACCGGCTACGAAGATCATCTTGATTGATAGCAGCACCGGATGAGAAAACAGGTGCTTATCTACCGTACAACTACATCGATTTATTTGAACAAAGTCTTATAATAGAAATAATAAAGAAATGGAGCAAAAAAGCTTCCCACAGCAACAAACTTCCCGAGTGCCAACACCTCCAGCACTCAGACGGGCGCTGTGGATAGGAACTGACAGAATGAACACCACTGAGCTCGGTTAGCCGCCATTTCGTTCACTATCTTTAGCCAAGGACAGAGAATGTCACTTGAACCTCAACCCAGAAGGCGAGCAACACCAACCATCTTTTCCTTTACCTCTGTCATGTCCAATTCTGTCCGCCTCTAAGTTTCCGCCCGATCATACGTCTTTTGTCTCATTTACCATACAATCCTTATCAAATCACATTTTCCTTCCTTCTGCCTTCACTTTTCTCCAAACTGCCCAAATTCCGAACTATACCCGCTAATCCCGCGAGAACTTCCGAGTTTTGAAGATCCCTATTAAAGAGCATCCCTACAAGCCAACTCATATGTGCCGTTTTATTCAAGGGTGCTGTGTTTACAGGCATTGCGTTCATTCTACAGTCCACGTGCACCAATCGTAGAGAAATATGTAGCCTATATCCTGTGAGTACTAACCGGCGTTAGTACAACTATGTCGTCCAGCGGTTTCACACAAAAACCGTGGTTGCTCTAGGATTGTCGGTTGTTCACGACTGGTCAAGTTTTTAAACACTCGCAAATGCCATCCAAGATACCCCAAGATCAGTCCAATGTACGCCTAACTGATAACTCACTATGAAAGCATCCGTGAGACTGTCTTGAGGTATCTGTGTGAACACTCGGTTGGATCCAAAGCCCATGACCTGGCAGCCTGTCGCACCGTCAGGTGTTCAAACTACAAATCGGGTTTGATACTCCCTGGAGTTTCGCGCTATGTGCACCGCTGATGATTCCCAAGAGGGATAAAGCAGCTGTAAAGTACTTCTCTGTTTTTTTTCAGCATAGAGCATGTAGTAGCTGCTTCGGTGTGTCATTTTGCGCGTGTGCGTGTCGGTTCGTCGTTCCACCATCGATCTGGCGTGTGACTTGAGTGGCTGATTGGATGCGTGTCCGATTGGTTGGCTCGCGTGAGCGCTGTGGGTTGACTGGATATGTGACTCAGTTGCTTGCTTACCTGTCATGAAAGCGGACCAGTTTGGCCCCGTGTACTCAATACACCCGCGTCCGTACTTACGTGTTCTTCTGACTTACTGTGAACTACGATAGAGCAGTTTCGCCAACAGGGCAAACTCCTAACTGAAATTTACCGCATCTCCTCACACAACCATTGGCTATCAAATAGTCCTTAAAGGGTGAGGACTGGTGGCCCTTTAAATCCGAAACCTACCCCTATCTGATGAGCTCCAACAGTAGCAAAACACGAAGTGAAAAGCCAAAAGTATTGGATGACGTGTTTCACTCTTCACTTAAGGGGAAATAGTTCCATATCACGAATATCGATTGGACAACACACTGAAACAGATTCAACTGGAGATCATCTTGCATTTGATACTTCAGTGAATTCGTTCATTGAAAGTCACTTGTGGTACACTAAGATGTTTCCAGTGCGTCACATAATTTTGGTCTCGTTTGGTCCATACGGAAATGGCCGTTGACAACCAATTCGAGCATCACCGAAGTCAGCTATCTGGTAGCCTCAGAAAGCACAAATTGAACTCATAAAATTATTTCATCGGCCAACAATCCTCAACGGATCATCGCGTGCTTGTAGCTGACCAAGTGGATTGCGCCAGCATTGCTCACTACAAATCCATAATGTTCAGTCTCTATGTCCAAAAGCCTAGATGAATCCCTCCTCATTTGCCTGCTTTTGCTGTCTGGCTTGAAGTCACCGATCCGGAAACTCGGGTTCGCATCGTGTCCCTTCATTTCATCCCGTTTGGGCTGCAACTTCAACGTTGGTAGCTTCCAGGCTTCCGATCCGTACCAAGATATCTGCCTTCTTTTTCAACCGATCATTAAATAGGACCCAAACGAGCATGGTGAACCGATAGTGGGACTGGTGACAAACCTCCTTTACTAACGTGGCTGAAGCTCCAAGCTTAGGTATTTAAGGCCGACATTCAGCGCTTTCCAAATTGCGCCCTGTAAGATAATGGGGGTAGACCTAAGAGTCTTGAGTCTGAAGATGATACTACATCTCAGGATTGAGTTTCTAATAGTTCTTCCACGCTCGAGTTGCACAGTGCTGTCGAAAAAAAATCAGAGAATCACAATTGCTAGAAATACACGAGATATTTAGTTGTATGAGCCTGATATAGCTCACCAGTTTGGGCGCGAACTTGCTGAAAGGGGGTCCTTGGCTAGAAACCAATCGCAGCACCTCGTCTCCTCCTTCCTAAGTTTGAGCATCCTGGTGTTATCTCAGTCCTCGGGCTTCACTACTCGGGTGACGCGGCCGCTATGCATCGAAAGGTCGTTACGCCTGGACAATTATTATTACTAGTAGTGTTATTTTCTAAGTAGCTGCAATCTTTTGGTCGGCAGCGTTGCCAACAAACCGAATACTAGAATCGCCAAGGTCATTTGTTCTTTCCCTCAACACAGTCACATCCGCTATCGAGTGGAGAGTAAAAAAGATACTGGCACTGAATGATGTCTATGAAAAGCTAACTGAAGCATTATTCACTCTGTATGGATCCTTGCTACACAGATTACGTCAGATTACGCTGCTCCCAGGTGTAAGACGACCCGAGAATTCTTCAGTTTGACTAAACATTACCATTTCACTTATTTGCAAGTCATTTTGTTTTTGCAATAGACTCACGTAAAATACAGTTGAATCTTTCGTTTATAATGTTTTCAAGCAACGGAATGTGCTGCGCCAGGCCGTCTCATGTTTCAGTTGGTACGATATTCGAGATATGGCAATACATGTATAGACGTAACGCACTACTCATAAGGTTGCTGAAAAACCTTTGACAACCCACGAATGGCTTCGCCCTTCGTAGGGAAACTTGAGTTCAATGAGAACATAAAGTGGACGGAAACTCGCCGACTTCGCCCAGGAAGGACGAAACCGGTCGTGGGCTGTCGGAAAGTTTTCAGCAATCTCTTGAGTAGTGTATTACGTCTATACTTAATAACTTCTTTTCATTCACAGTGAAGATGTTCACAGAGGAAGCCGGTTCTCTCAGTGAGGCCGACGAAGACTACAGAGAACCAAAATAAAAGCAGAAAATTTTTTTGTTGGCGTGAAAGAGCTGGTGAGTTCTCAGGAAGCACAGTTCCTCAGAAGTCGAAAGATAACGTTTTCAGTGAAGAAAGTAGTGAGCAGCCTGTGAATAAAGACTAAGCGCCATTTTTACACTATAGGGTCAACACAGATTTCTACCATTTGCTTGTGTCGGCGTTTCCTCTCCAAAAAATTCAGCGGGCCATGTCTGAATATTTATCAAGCTCGAAACCAGACCGAAGCTACTCTTCCCGACCGATTCAGGAATGCAAAACTAAGTTGGAGTGCCTATGAACCTGGAAAACCTAGAGTATGGTTCGGATCGAGCATTGGTCTCGTGGTTGTAGGAGAGCTGTCATGGAAAGCAGCTAGACTGAATCTACACTGGTTCCCTTACTTAGGGACCGTTCAAGTGCTCTAGTTGGACTGATGCTTTGAGAAGATTCATCTTCCGGTGCACTGATCCAATTTTCAGGTTCGAAGGATAGCTCGGCCATCAGTAGTTTTAACACCCGGTTTTTAGGAAATTCATCCTGTCCGTTTCTATATCATATTGCTCTTTCGCTTCCTGCTTGAAGGCATTTGAAATATAATTTTCGTACAAAGGGCTACAGACATGGGATGTTGCTTGAGACCCAAACGCTCAGTTTGCTCGCGCAATCCCATTAAGTGAAACAGTGTAGTCTTGAATTCCATTATCTATTACTCGCAGCAACCCATTGCTTAATCGCTTCCTGAGCTGTCTGAGGTTTATAATCCAGTGAGGGCAGTTATTCACGATGACTTCACAAGACGCTACTTATAAGGTCGCTGAAAACTTTTTAGGAACATGATTTTTCACGCCTCTTTTGGAACTCATCAGGTAGATGTCACTCCTCGTGTTTCCATCGTCCATGTATTCTAACATGGAATTGGTGAAACACACTCATTTGGTTACCCACTTGTTTGCCAAAGGAGACCCAGCTGAATCTCCCGTTTGTGATGCCCTTCGAATGAATGTGCTGCACCAAGCCGCCTCACTTGCACGATATTCGAGATACTGATACAAGCGTAGACGCAGGACACCACTGTTCGCCTAGTACACCGGTGAAACGCAGAGCCAGTGTTCACCACGTGAGAAAGACAGCCTAAACTGTCCACATGTTTGGTGCTTTTTTCGCGATTGCCAACAGAAGCTACATGTTAACAGGTCTGAAGGAAGAGTTGCTGGCCTACACCAAAGCAGGATCAGGCGTCTTAGAATTGTTTGATATCCTGAATTGTATAGAAGTTCTACGCTGGACACCGGCAAAACGTCAGTGTAGAACGCTGATGACATGTTGCCCATAATGATGACGATGTCGCTGGTGGTTGTGCTTGTGGTGGCTTTGATGGTGTTCGTGGCTGTGGTTGTAACGATGGCGGTGTTGGTCGTACTTGCGGCTGTTGTGGTTGTCATTAACTACTGACATTTACCCCAAACTTTAGACTGATATTATTTGAGAGCCCTGCGTTTACTCAACAGTATTGTAGACCGCGGCGAACCAACTTCTTTTCGCATGTCTGCCAAACAACTGATATCTCTTCAGCTGATTGAGCTCACACTACTTAGAAATGGTCATATTGTTGAACAGTTGTACATCCCTTGAATTGCTGTACTGTGCGTACGGGTCGTAAAACCAAGGTATTGGAAGTAAAAGCTTAGGTGTCAAGCAAGTCGGTCATTATCGGAAATTCGCGCTCGGGAGTGTGAATGACTAACTGAATGCTACACCAAATGGCGTGTATATTTCGTGATTATGTTGCTAGGATGTGGTCAATATTTTCGGGTTTACTTTAAAAGGTTTCATCCATTCAGTAAAACGAGGCCGGAAGGGGCAGGTTCTTTTATGCGAGGCAGGGAAACTATTAGCTAGTTGGAGGGAAAGTATCCTGTCAAAACCAAACTGGTACAAAAAACTAGTGTAGTTCGCTAACTTCTGTAGTACTTTTGCAAAAAACCTAATGGCACGCTGATAATTTTGCACACTGCCATTCCGGAGGTTTCTTAAACTTCTTTGTCCGGTTTGTTAGCCAAACCCGTCAGAATGACCCACCAGATTGGGATTCGTATCACTGTCACGTGAGTGTCTTCATGTGACATTCATATTGCGACACGATCGATAGCTTACCAGTGCTACTTCTGTGGCTTACTGGCAGCTAAACTTGATCTAATGTAGTTCATACCAACTAGCCCGGATGAGACCCGCAGGATTGTATGCTTTGTTGCCTCAGACCACCACGGAATAATTCTGCCAGTTCTACCAATCGCGGTCGTCGACGACGACGTATAAACGATGCTTTGCAACGCCGTCGAAATTTTCGTCGTGACTCCAGCAGCTATACACCCTCAACTAACAGGCGTACATCTTCCTCGAAGACCTTTTCGGCCCAACAAACTTCATCTAGTGTGTTTGAAAACACTTTCTCATTCCAAGAACGTAGGTGCCGGAATGGAGTAAGCCGTGTCGTCAAGAGGTTTAGCATTTCCAATTCTACCGCGTTGCCCGTCAGAAAAAGACAACGACCTTTGGGGCAAATAAATATATCTTCAGTTCAAGTTGATGCTGGTCTGCATGAAATTAAGTCAGAACTCACACAGTATTCCAGAACCACAAGATTTGCTCAACAGAATGAGAAACGAGGAAAGAAAGGTGGGTACTTCGACTTACCTGTAATATGTAGACCAAACTGTGGTAACTTCGAGTGAGTCTGTCTAATGTCCTTCTCTGAATTCTCGCCCATCCAAACAAAATTCTATTTAGTCCTGAAGTATGAGGTGTAGTGTTCTGGCTTCGCCATTCGACCACATCCGCCATTCTGTCGATGCAGATAGGTCTGCATCCCATAAGGCTCTGAAATCTCATCCTTAGTAAGGCTGACTGCCGGTGATGATGAGGGGGGTGAGTTTATGTGGTTCTATGGGGTGTCCTGATAAGCTAGTGTTGCCAGTAAAGCATCGGTGCCTACAGATGAAGTCTTGTGAACGAACAAGCCACCAGAAAGAAGGAAGAAAGCCCTCCAGTAAGGGAAATCATGACAAACTGTAGTGACACTTTTCTCAGGATGACCAGTGATAAGATGAGGAACAATATCTTAGATCCCATGAACCGCTCATGGTGATCACTCTAAATGCCATATACCACAGAGGAAATCGCCCTGGAGACCTGTGTAAGGTAGGGGGCTCTATGATAGATAAATACAATGTAAACACCCTGTCTGGAGTTGTAGGCACCTCGGAATGATTGTGGTAAGCTAGCACTAAATCCCTTCCCTGTCCACCTTTACTCTTTTCTTTACAATGAGGCCTTCAAATGAATCATGGTTGTACGGCAGTGAAGCATCGGTGTTGAACATTGATGTCATGCTGTCGATGATGATGAGTAGGAGGATGAACACCCTGCAAGCTAGGTTTCGCAGAAACTGGATGTCTTTAAATGTGCCGGTTTATCAGAGATCCATTTCTTCACAAGGGGTACTCACCGAGGAATGGCTGGTTGGTACTTTGAGCACTTTTATAGTGAGTTCTTTCCTCTGTTTCCGACACTAGAATGCCATTTTTCAGTTACTTGAAAAGAACAGCACGTTGTTTTTTTCACACAAACTTATGCAACTCGATTTCATTTTTAGTGCGCAGCCGTCGAAATTTCAGGCGTCGCCGTACCAACAAAAACAAACCGAAAATCATGGCTCATGTCGAAGCAGAAGTGACTGACATGCCAGCACCCAATCGTCTTGGTTCTTCTGAACGCAGTTGCATACTTCCTCAAGGTCCGGACAATATTGTACGCAAATTTCGGCTAGCTGGTCACGTGACCGTACTTGGTAACCTATCTGCACAGCTTCCGGAGAACTACAAGCTCTCACGACAAAGCAGTGGATTCTTGGACTCTGCACGCCAGTGCACGCATAAGTGTCAACAGAAAAGAACCAAACCTCGTCCTGCTTTGTCCATATGCACTCATAGCGGGCTATGTTTAGACTGTCGAATGCGCCGACAACTTTGCCAGCAACTCTGCAGTCAGTCACAACAATCTGATTCTTTCTCAGTTAGATTCAGTCCTCTGCTATCTCGTTTGCGCTGTTTTCTGACTTTTTGTCCCTGTTGCGCGACAGAAACTATTCTAGAGTGAGTCATTTTTTCTGTTCCCGGGCGGATCAGTGATCCATCACCGTTTTTTCCGACCGTGAATAGTGTTTATTAAAAGCCGCTGCATTACACTGAATTGCTGTACGATCTTTGATCTGTTTCCTGTTCTAGCTGTCTTCAGTCCCATCATACTTTTGGCTTACCGTTCGACAGAAAGAGTATTCATCACAGAACTCGCACTAGTTGTCGGTTAATGATCAAGGAAATTCAGCAAGGTAGCGTATTAGTCCGGGTACTTGAAATGATACACTTCGTACGGACTAACTATTCCTTCTTCATTATTGTCGTGTAACTCAACAGCAACACGGGTGCTTAACGTGGGTGGCATACTGTCGTACAATTGAGGGTACTGTGATGGAATTTCGTTCCGCGCGTTGCAAAATGGCCGACTTCTCTTTTGCGAAACACCGTCATTTGAAAAGAAAGCTGGCGATAACAGAGACCCAGTGGGATCCCTCGTTCCTCATAACGTGTTTTATCTGAATTTGCTGAAAAAAGATCGTCTCATAAAGGAAACGACTCACGGGGCTGCAGAAAACTCTTCAGCAAACTTGTGAGTAATTTCCTTTATGGAAATATACTGCGATACCTCGAATATCGTGCCAGCTGAAACATGAGGCGACCTGTGTGCAGCACATTCAGTTGAGTTCCTCGTGAAAACCAAAGTGATTTGTAAATGAGTGTGTTTCTCGAAGACCGTCTCATGTTTCGGTTGGTACGATATTCGGGAACTCATATTATGTTTGCCTGGAAGAACATACTTCTCACAAGTTTAGGGAAAAATCTTAGCTCACAGCCAGTTTCATCTTTCTTCGGGTTCATCAGACGGGCATAGTCCTCGAGTTCACGAAAACGTTATGTTCTAACTGAACACCAAATTGAACACAACTGGTCGAATACAGCAATTTGCCATTCTCACTGACTGCAAACATCGGTGAGAGAAAAGGCTCATTCGACAACAACAAAGCAGCTCTACTGCGAACAAGCGAATGATGAATTACATGAAAAATCACACAGTACTTAAGACACACTTCCGAACTTGAATCAATGCTCTCCGGTCGATGCTGGGCGATTGATTCGCGTCGCTTCTACGAGACTCCTTATCACTCAAACATCGTGAGTCATCGCTGACTGCCTCTCTGAACATCAAATCGATAGCAAGCTTTTCTGGCCTATAAGCTCGACGGTCTTCCTGAAAAGATCCTTGAAAAAAATGACAATTTCCAGTAGGCTACGGAAGTTCTGGGGTGGTTTTCCGGAATCTGACCTTCCGAAGCTCGCCAGTTATGCGGGAGTGGCAAACTCGACAAATTCCCAGCGGGATTTTTCGTTTGTGATACTCTTGCCTTTCGTAGCTTATTTTAATCTGATGAAACGTTGACCAGAATGATGTTTCTGTGTTAGGACTTGAGTAAAAATCAACCAAACGATCAACAACCGGAGCTGTGACAGTCAGCGGTTTAAAGTACATCACTTGGTAGCATCTTTGATACCACTGTCCAAAAGACTAAGATTGGAGCAGTAATCAAGCCGTTTCAACAACAAGGATTTCGCGTGTACTACTGTGATGTCCGTGAAACATCAGCGGGTTGTTTCTGGAATTCCATCACGGTAAAATTACAACTTATTTCTTAGTCGGACGGGAATAGCTCATGTAGATACCTGGTATCCCATCTAGGTCTAACATTCCGGAGTGAAATATTTTCGTAGTGGCTGATCATGGAAAAGCAGCTCAGGTAACACTAAAATTTCCCGGCATTTGAATGTGCCAAGCGATCGGTGAAGTCGTTTTTGACATCGTAAATTAGCTTCCCTCTGACTGGAGCGTTGACAACGTCTTGAATTACTTTGCTCACTGAGATATACCCTGTTACAGTTTCGCCGCTTGTATTTCCTAAAAGTCCACCAATTTGGACACATAGACCTAATCGTGATTACGAAATTTGGGCAGGCAGTTGATCGGTTGACATTACCGGCACAGTCACCGGGTTATCTTTCGAGCCTGTAGTGTCTGTAATCCGTCGTCACATTTACCATTCTTCCTGAACTGAAAACACACTTTGTAACTGTCGTTCACATTGCATCATGACGTTTGTTTTAATGTTACGAATACACAATTCTCCGGTGCGACCTGCTGACTTCTTGCTGAACGAGTGTATTTACGCTCCGTTGAACTGTTTGTTGACTGCTCAACCAGTGGGTCTAAATCTCCGTGTTTGTGTCAACTGTTGAACGTCGCAATAAAT